CCAGTGTTTTGTTATACTGGAGTGAGGGATCTTGGTTAAGAACCAGTTGGTGCCTTTAGGTCATTCCTGGATTTCAATGTCAATTGCTGAAAGGGAAGTAAGAAGAAACTGTAATCACGCAAAAGAATTTCAGGTGGTCACTTGAGAAGGTGAAGGTGATGAATTGCATTTTAGCTCCTTTTTCTTTACATAATTTCTTACCTGAGCATGCATTTGGTCTGCGATGGTTTTTACTAAAGGAAACGTTTTCTGTAGTTAACATCACATAAAATGATTCATGTAATACCTGAGTCAAGCAAGTTTCACACTTCTGCTGCTTGCTTTCTTAGACATCTTGCTCTGTGAAAATAGTGTAGTTTTTTTTACTGTTTGATTTTTGTCAGCTTGACACTTTTCTCTTTCCTAAATCAATCCGTCAGGGATTTTATTTCGCATTTTATTCCCAACTTAAATTCCATCAAGAATTCTCTAACTTTCCTCTTTTGGTGAACAGCTCTGTGGTAACTGTCACTGTTACAGCTGCCCTACTTTTCTGTTACTGCTAGTCTGGTTTCTGTTTTCTATAACATCAGCAACCAAGTCCCCCAGGCAGAATAGGGCCGGAAACTTGTCACTCTGAGGGTATGTCTACACTGCCTGCTTGTTAGCAATATGCAACAGAGAGAGGTGCCTGAGATAGCAGAGCTTCAGGAACTGTGTAGCTGTAGTAGCACACAGCTTGTCTGAGCCTCATTTATGCTTCTGGAGTTGGTTGGAGTTAACAGAGATACCTGTGAGCTGTGAGGAGGCAATTCTCATGGCAGCAACAACCTCTATCATGTTCGTAGACTTTATTCCCAGGCATCAGCCACTCCCCTGGGAGGTAGAACAGGTGTTTTTTTCTGACCCATGAGGGTTTGGCTTCAAGTAGAGGTTAAGATGTTGTATTTCTTTGTCCTTTCTGACACGTTTGCTCCTCCTTTCTGAGCACTGACATCTCAGCACTTGTTTATGATCACTTCTGTTTCAGACAGATCATTCTGGTGATCCTTTACAACACCACACTAAAATGGACTCTGCAGTGAGATGAAGTACTTGCTCCCTTTTGAGTAGCAAGAGCTGCCCAAAATGACGGTGATTGTATGGCTGGTCTGGTTCAGGATGATAGATCATAAATTTGCTTGAGTAGATAGAAGGGACTTACCTATGTGGAGGGACAGAAAGAATAGAACATGATGAAGAACCCTAACTATTAGGACTGTATTTTCTTATAGGTGGCATTGATTATTCCTCAAATTCACATTTTTCTGAAATTCCACAATTTTACTGTAAAATGTTCCAATTGAGAGTCAACTTTGGACACTTTTTTTCTTATTTTCCTGAGTAGAGTGAATGGAGACGGTATGTCTTCAGAGAAAAAAAAATCTTGCGAAAAAGGACTTGTGATTGCCAGATAAAATGATTTCATGTAATCTTTCTAGGCATTTGTCAGGATTATGAGGGCAAAGTTTAAGTTGTTCTATGCTCAGAAGTATTAAAACAGACTGACCAACTCCATTAGCTAGGCTGTAAGGAGCATCCAGCCTTCTGTATGCTTGAAGCAACTTTCTGCTTTTTTTTAAAAAAAAAAAAAAAAACAGTTTATGTTTTATAAGGATCACTATATTCTTGATTCACTAAACAATGTGGTATGGTTCTTTACTGACCCTAGAAAAAATTTGCTGCAAGTGAACTTTTTGAGACTTACTCTAAATGCGTTTATGTAGTAAATGTTACAAAATGCTTACAGGGGGTGTTCAGCAATGTTTTCTTTGTTTACTTCAGAATAGACAAACTGCATATAATTTGAAAAAAAAAAAAGAAGCAACACACACAGTTTAATATTGACTTGCACAACAGATTGGTTCTTGTGTAATTTTGTGTCATAGTTCATAGCTGGGACAATTCTTTGAAGATCATCTGAGTCTACTCAGTAAAGAACTTAGTTCTGCTTTGTTTCAGACTGTCAGAGCAAAGGTAACCTTAATTTTCAAATGGATATGTTTTATATTTTTCCAGAATTATGTCTGTCTGTCTTAATCATTCCTTTCATTAAGGAATGATGCTTTGTGTGTGTGGAACTAATTCCACTTATTTTTTGTTCATGAATGCTTACAGAATGGGTAAGAGCTTGATTTTTGTCAGTAACTGTTTTTTATTCTGAGTGAAATCTCATATGCTTTTTTTCCCCTTTTGAAAACTTTTTCAATGGTATAATCAACAGTGGTATTAAAATGTACAATGCAATGTCATATTTTGGGCAGGCATACAGGATTGAACTGTAATTAATTGCTGTTGCTGAATACACCATGGTCCTTACTCTCTTTTCATACCCTAGCTTTTCTTTGTGTGTAATAATTCCATCCAGAGAGAAATCTAATTACTAAGATAATTAACACCTTATCACCAAATGGAGTTCAGACATTTGTACAGTTTATGAATTTTTAAAATATGTAATTTCCTTTTAACTGAGTGACAACTGGTGTTATGGAGAAAAAGAACATATTTTATTGTATCTAGCTTGATTGGACCTTATAATTCATGTTGCTATAGAAACAACCAAACCTTTATAAAGGATGGTATTACTACTACCATTGGTAATAAATGCTTTGACTGTTGCCGATAGTGTCATTAAAATGGTTAAAATAACTTCATTATAATGGTTTTGTCAAATGTAATGCATGTTCTGTTCATACTCTGAGAAATGGCAGCTGATGTTACATGATCCTGATTTATGAAGTAATGTATTTTTTCTTCCACAAGCTTACCATTACTGCACAAAACATTCGTGATGTGAAGAAAATCATGTTACAGAATGCAACCTCTGTTCACTCAGTCCATAAATCCAATGAATTCTGTTGTCACTTGATACCAAGCAGAACCTTGTATCTTGCAGTGTTTCAGTCTTAAGAATTCAATGGCAACTGAGGTGGTTTAACCAACAGTTTGGGGATTTTTGCTGCTCTGCATAATGCTTATCTTGTTTCCCACTTGCAATTATTGGACTTACTCCTTGAAAATGTCCAATATTATACATTTTTGATTTGGCATTCCAATTGTATAGTTCAACTTAAATCTCAAATGCTTAAGTCTGAATTTATGAACTTAAAAAAGGAATTGAAAGAATTTGGTTTGTTTATTTTGTGAGGATTTTTCATTAGGAAAATGTAAAAGAAGATTTTAACAATACAGTGCCTAATAAATTCCTGTGTGGCTAACTATATATACAGACACTTTAAAAAGAGACTTTTGTTTCGATGTAAGCTTATTGCCAGTACTTACATAAAAAACTGTGTTCATTTATGTTAAAAAAGTATTCTCAAAATATATTTACCCCCATACACTGTTTGTATTAAGGCCACTGTAGTGAATCTTGGCTGTGCACGCTCTGAGATTTCACATAATCAAATTACTAAGAAAAATATTCTCCTCTTCCCCTTTCTTTTGTCTTTTGTCAACAGATTCTCCTGTTCCAGTAGACCTCATTGTTGGAAGGTTTTCTTTTGGCTATGCCAATGCAAGCTTCTTAGTTTCCTATGATTTTTTTCTATGGTGATGTGCTGTCTAATAAGAAAAAAATAGTTCTCTTTGGCCATTCAGGTACTTCATAAATGTCATTTAAGCTCGATACTTTTGTATTTACAATTCTGCTGTCACTTGCCCCGATGATGGAAAGAGAAGCCTTCTGTCCCTTTCTTTAGGTTGGAAAAAGGCTTTGAAACCCCTTTTTAAGCTCAGGCATGAGCTTCGCTTCCTGTGGCAGCAGTCTTTATGCCCTTCACCCCTAAGAAAATTAATCTCAGATGTTCTCTTGCTTTAGCCTACTTAAAACTGTAGAGCTATTCACATTTAAAGGGACCTCTAGAAGTCATCTCATCTATTCCTTCCACTTGAAACAGGACCAACTTTAAGTCAGATACCACCAGTATCTTTATAGGATTCTTGCCTTTCCTAATAAATCATATTTTCTCCAGTTTATCATTGTTAGTGTCCAGAGATCATCTCTGTTGTAGACAAGGCCATGTCTATGTCAGCAGGGAGCACTGTGAGCACTTCCAAGCATTATACATTTCTGCCTCTCAGCAGAAGAGGTTAGTCCTTATTCCCACTTTGCAAACAAGCAGGCTGAGATACAGAGCGATGCTGTGGTTTCCCAGCTTCTCATAAGGCAGTGGTCATCCAGCTGGCTAGTGTCAGACTTGGAAAACTGAGTTGATATCTCCTGGGTCCCATACAGTGCTCTGTAAATACCATGCAGTAATCTCTTGGTTGAAGGACTCATTTTTCTGGGCCATGTGCTTAAGGGTTCTGTATATTCAGTCCAAGGGGAACAGTTAGAAAATGTTGACCTTGCTAAATAGGGACAGTTCAGTGCCTGTGCGTTTGTAAACTTCAGTATTTTGTTTTCCTTTTAAAGTAAGGAATCGCCCACTTCTATGGAGTACTGAGTTAAAAATTAAATCATGACTAAAAGTTGCCTTATTGGCTCCGAAGCCATTTTTGTTCAAAATTGCTAGGCTCCATGATTGGAGATGCCAATCCCTTCTTTAGGGGGGGACTCTTCTCCTTTGAGATCAGTGTTTTAAGTTCTAGTGGCTAAGTCTGAGAAGTTATAAATGTTGTGCATTATGTAATCAGAATTTAGAAAATTGCAAGCTCTGCTGATCACCTATAATTTCTGATGAAGGAGGAGGTAGTCCAGATGTTTTCACTCATGTGTCATAATACTGATCCAATATTTGGTGCAATGTCTTTCTTCTATTGCTTGTGCTCTCGGCTGAGTACCAAATGCATTTTTCATTACCAAGCAATAATATTAAAATCTCTCTCTCTCTCTTTTTTTTTTTTTTTCCAAAGATAATTTTAGGTCTCAATTTCTGTAGATAAAGTTGAAGAGTTACAAGTCTACATAAACTAGTATTTAATGGAATAACACTTACTTGTCCTAAGCTCAATGTTTCTTTATACTTTTTTTTTTACAGAGTGCCTGGAATAACGATTGCTACAGACATCATCTGTGGTTTTCCAGGAGAGACAGATGAAGATTTTCAAGAAACAATGAAACTTGTGGAACAGTACAGGTTTCCGAGCTTATTTATTAATCAATTTTACCCACGCCCAGGAACCCCTGCTGCAAAAATGCATCAAGTTCCAGCTGCAGTGGTAAGATGCATTTTCTTCTGCCACCATACACAGTGTACTGAGATGTTTTTAAATACATAAAACGTGCATGAAAAAGTAGATTTTCTGCAGAACTATACTACAATTCAATTTAAGTTTTATGTAACTCCTCTTGAACTGCCTTTAGAGGTTTGCTAGATCACTAGATGCCTTGCCATATATTAATTATCATTTAGATTGCTAGGAAGGGTAAAATAATGGTTATACCGAAGTCATATCCTTTCTATCAATTTTTGGCTGAATGAGAACCAAGAATGGTAGCTGATTGATTACACTTTTTTTTTCCCCCATTTTAAGACTTCTGTGGCTCTAGCAATCTTAAGCCTGTTGTGAACAATTGTGCAAAGTATTAATAATAGAGAAATGGTAATCTTTGATTTACTTGTTAAATATCAAATTTGCACATACTTCCACAAAGACCTCCTTACACCCTTCTTATAAATTTTGTCTTTCTTCAGCCTTCATGTTAAAGGCCATTGATGAAATTTGCATTTAATCTTTCAGTTTTTAGGTGTTTTCCTTATTTGTGTTTTTGGCTGGGAAGCATAACTGTATCTGATTAACAACAATCTCATCTCAGATTCACATGAGGGGAAAAAAAAGTTTTAATATAGAAAGCAGGTGGCTATTTCATTGATATAAACATATATTTTTTTGTAAGTAGAACTATTAGCAATCACTTATGAAAGTATGGTTTAATTTTATTTTAAGTTGCATTTGTGACTGCACAAGTTTTTCTAATCTGAATCTCAAAACAAAAAGTATACAAGGCTGCCAGCACAATAATTTAATTCACTATTATCCCATTGTTATGGGCATAAATAACATTTGTATTTCCTAATGGTATAAGAATGAAAGTTGGCCAGCAATATAAGTCAGTTAGAATAAAAGACTTTCTTTCAATTTGCATATTCTGGTACACTAATACAATGTCAAAACTACATTCTGTACTTGTATCCCTTCGCTTGTATGTCTGGAAGCTAAGTAAGGAGTTCCTGCTTACTGCTCATGGTATATACCATGAGCTCTATAGGATGTATCAACTGCAGAAGACATAAAATGAAACTATATTTGGCTTCTTCAGTTTATTGTTCAGACAATTACATCTTGAGTAACGATTGCTCATTTATTATAGGCCATCTCATTATAGAAAAAATGGAGTTTTCAAATATAAATAGCTGCTGTTGAAAGAGTATACTTAGTGTAACCAACTGACAATACTGAATTATTTTTATTAGTTTAGAATGCTTTTTACAAACATTTGAAATGAAAAATATGCAGATATGTACTTTTTGGAAGTTGGGAACCTTAAAATTCAAAACATTGATTTATGTTTGTTTTGCATTTTTTCTATCCAGTATTTTGTAAGCACACTATTTTCAAAGGAGCTGCAAAGATCTTAGGTCGATTTGTCTTCTGTTTAACTGTGTGCCATGGGGAGACGTTATGTGAAGAGCTAAATTATTTAAAGAACTTTAGCTGTTCTGTGGTTGGGGTGGTTACTAGGAAAATGTTAATGTCATTTTAACACAATTTTACGTTCTTTCTTCTTTTTTCTAGCACTAGCACTTACCGTTTAGGGTTAGAATTGAAGAACTTTCAAAGAAGATGCAGCCGCTAATCCAGGGTTGATAGAAATCTATAATTAATAGATTTTTTGTTTGTTTCTCCTTTTATTCTTTTTTTTTGTAGTCCTTTAAAAAAAAATAAATCCTGTGAGACCCTTTGTTCTTTATCTTCTAGAAATGGAAGGTAACCAGTCAAACAAAGCAGGAAGAGACTGTGCTAATGTTTTACTTTTGTATTCACATTACCTTCAAATAGAAGCTAATGGTCTCTCCTGCATTACCAAGAACATACTGAGATGTCATTCATCATTCTTCATCTAGACTAATTTACCATCTACCTTTCTCTGCTAGGATAAGGAAGTTACTATGCATGCTATGCACACTTTATCCTTTAACAAAATATTATTCATGTCATCTATTGTGAATTCATTTATTGTATTTGCATAGGGAAAGGAATAGCACATAAAGTGACATCAAAATGTTATGCATGAGTGTCTGGGTGTACATGTGGGTAGACTGCACCACAGGAAGTTCTTAACAATATTCTCCATAGTGAATTGGCTGGTAGGATCTGTTTCTATGAAAACAATTTTGCTGGTATTATTTAATAATTACCGATGTTGAACCAGTGAAAAAATTATTTTGTTATTTCTATATTTTTTCCTGAATGGTGGCTGTATCTGCTGTTATTTCAGTTTTGCAATACTTAGGCAGTGGAGATATCTACTGCTCTTTGCAAACTGCTTCACTTTAGTGTGTTCCAGTTCTCCAACTCTGATTCAAGATGGCTTCAGTGATACTGCTGAAATATCACAGCTGTAATAATAATATATTTGCCTTGTCAGTTCCTTCTAAGTTTGCTCTTTCTAGGAAGACCCTATGACTTTTAGGGATAGTTGGTGGAGTACTAAGCATAGAATAATTTAGTGCTTTTAAATTTTTAGTGGATAGTTTTTATAAAAGTCTTAAATACAATTGCTTTTCTGGAGAAAAATCTCATTTGAGCTTACCATAATAGGAAAAAAAAAAATCAGTAGGTCCACATGGAATCTTTCCTTTGCATAGATGATTTATCTTTGAAAGCCTTACAGGCACCGGTCTTTTTCGAAAAGGGCAGATGACACTAATCCAGATGGACAGATCTGCCACCATAAATTCAGAAAAGACAGTTAAGGCTGCAGGCCTGTCTTGTTTCTCCTGGAGAAAAAATGTCCATGGAGAATCAGACATCTGTCTAAATGGTCTCATCATTTCATAACAATCAATTAGGTTATGCTTACTATAAATTCTGTCTCCAGTGTAGAGAAAAGTTAGAGCATAATTAAGCAAAGCTAAGCATGGTTTTCTATTTGTAAGCAATTGCAGTGATTTGCTGAGTGATGTATTTAAAAAACGAGTCAAGATGTTGTTTGAAATGTTATGATACCCCAAAATTCTGTTTGTTCATTTGTTTTTCTGGCTTTTATCCCCATCTCATACATTTACTGCTGAGTACATTATCTCAGGTATGAGTTTGGATGCTCATAATCTCCAGCGGGATCTCTGTACAAAATTCTTATTCTGAAATGTGTTAACTATAAAGTGCTATTTTATAGGTTGTAATTATTATTATTTTGGATCTGGATTTCTTCATTTCCCTATTGCATTTAATCGTAAAAGTGATATTGCTGATAGTTGCATATTTCAAAATGCAGGTTCTAGTCAGCTATGTATTTTAGTGAGCAATGTAATAGAACAAGATTTAGTGGTGTATGGTAGGGTGTTTTTTATTTAGCTGCATTGCAAAGGATCCAACTATGTTACTTCTAAATGTAAAAATTTCTGTTTGTAAAATCAAGCATCTGTAACTTTTTATGCTCTTGATACTTTTATTAAATTCACTGTACTTTATTTTTCAAGGAACTGTTAATTGTCTGGAGATTTGGCGAGGGAAGAGTTATCTCTGTCCTTGAGATATGGTCTGTCACAATTTCTGAAAGCATTAGGGAATGTTGTTGTCTTTCATTCACCTTGGTTTCTGTCATGTGGAAACAAAGTGAAGAGAGAGCCATTTTGCAAATAAGTGTCGTTGTAAGGTACAGCTAGGTTCATCCCTATTGAGAACTGGAGATGGCAGCTGTTTTGAGAGCAGTAGTGTGACTGTAGCTTCATGATTACACTGCCCTCAGCTGCAGCGTGGCTGGATTCCAACCTTTCTATATGTATTTGCAATGTGCTAAACCTTTGATTTAATTAGCGTAAATATTAGATTTTTTTTTTTTCAAAAAAGCTTTGTGAGATTTAGATAAAAGACTGTATTCAATTTCTCTCACAATCTCTCTCTCTCTCTTTATATATATATATATATCATAAAATAATTACCTCGTTCCCAGCCAGAAAATTTAATGTCAGTCAACTGCTGGACCTTTCCTTTAATTTGTCTGAAGAGTGTCTACTTGACTTTTATCTCCGTATTTAGTTATGTTAAGCATGCTGCTTACTATATTGTGAGGAATAATTAAGTTATAAAATTTGTACCTGAACTGCCATATGATCTCAAAAATCATTTACTTCAGAAAGAGAGGTAGGTACAGGATATTCCTGTGTTCATCCATCCATGCTGTAGGTGGTTTGCTCCCTGACGTCCATCCACCTGCAAATGCTGTGTCCAGGAAAAATGCTTTCTGACTCTAAATCCTTATCTATCTAGATACTGGGCATTTTTTCCTGTTAAATATGCCCGTCGTTACTAGGAAAAATCTATGATCAGATATTGCACAGATTTTATTTATTTATTTATTTATTTTTACCTATTCTAGAAGCACTGAGCCATTATTTTCTAACTGGATAGTATAATGCCAGGTGCACCCTCTCCATGTTGCATTCCAGACAAGTTGTGTTTGGCCATTTGGGGTTGGATTAAATGATTTTTCTAGGACCGTTCCAACCTAAACCATTCATTCATTTCTGTGTAAGCAAAACAACAAGCTGGTAATTTATCCCTTACATCTATGATAGCCGTTTTTTTCTGTTTGTTTTTTTTTTTTCTTTTTTTTGTTCTCTTTTTTTTTTTTTTCTCTAAGACTGCCTTGCTTTTGCTTCCTTCTAAGGGTTCTCCAGTACATTCCCTAGCACCCCTTTGTGACTGAATGGCCATAGATTCCCTATAGTGCAAGACATTGGAAATAGGCATTCTTGAGTACCAGCAGGTATGGCATGATGTTTAACTCAGCCTTTGCTGGATAGATGTAGGTTTTGTAGTTCTGAATATCCATGGACAAACAGCTAGATCTCCTGTGACAGCTCATGTGCTCATTATGTATTCAGAATAAAGGATTGCCCATGTGTCCTCACACTGCCCCTGTCTGATTAGGAAATAACCACATCCCTCATTCAGGCGCTATCAGTTGTCCTCTCCCTCAGTACCTTTTTAGT